CTGAAAAATTCATTGACCTCTTATATTATATATATATATATATATATATATATATATATATATATATATATATATATGTGTGTGTGTGTGTGTGTTAATAAAATAGAAATGCATGAATTGAACTGTTATTTATGAAAATAGTAACAAACAGCATTTCCTGTCACTTTTTTGATTATTTTGTAAAATAAACAGAAACAGCTACTGAGATGAAGGCATCGTTATAATCCTGAATGCTTGTTGTTATCCTCGGCATCCATTTTTCTTGTAAACTTGTTATGGCAGTTCAGACTGCAATTAGATAAATGCACCACGTTCCAACTGTTTGATTAAATGCTCCCAAAAAAATCAAGCAATAAACACAACAAATAATTATCCTGGGTCTTGATAAAGTCTCTTGTGTTAATTAAGCAAAAAATATCACTTCAGATGTTTAGAGAGCAACAAAGGTTGAAATGTCTTAATGTTTACAAATGGTGGTCTTCCCTATAAAACTATTTGATGGGAAAGCCAAAATATTTCCTCACCTCAAAGCTGAAGTATAAGCATTTATTTTATTTTTATGGAGCCACTTTCCACATATAGACACAGTTTTAAATGAATGCTAATTTCTACCACCTTCATACATAAAAAATGGTAAAAAGTTTTAAGTAAACTCTGTTCAGGAAAATAAAAAAGAATGATAAGACGCAGACTAGCTCTGAGATAAATGGACATTCTTGTGCATATTTCCTGTTCAACTTGTATATATTTCCTTAATAACAAACTGCAAAAATCTAAATTAAACACAATCCAGAAAACCAGCTAATGTCTGCCTGCGTATCAAACCATTACTTCCCCTCATGCTGTCGTCCTAAATGGACCTGAGGGAACAGGTTAAGTGGAAAGTCAGTAAAAGAGATTCCTAGAAGAATGTTAAAAAAATACCAGCAAGATAAATATGCACATTTTTAGGGCAGGATGTATTTGAAAGTTTGGGTAGCGAAATAAACTGAGGTTTATGATAAGCACAATTTTAACAGAAAGTTTGAGAAAGGTCCTTCAGCTTGTTGATGTCTCAAAAATACACAGTGGATCATCACAGTGTCTTAATATCAAACCTGTGAAGAAAATATCATGAACTTATATGACATCTGTACATTTGTACATGCCATTTATACTCTATTGTTTTAATACTCTGATAACCAGCCACAGGGGAAACATAAGAAGTATAAATTTAAGCCTGTTTGGGCATATAAAATATCTGACAAGGCATGCCGACACCTGCTTACAGTACAATGACCACTGTGTACCACACAGTAACACATACACATTTATGAGGCTTAAGTGCAAGAGGACATGCCTGTCACAAATCGGTTAATTAGATTATCATTTATAGACAACAATAGCAATTGATTCCAAAACAGAGTTGACACATTGGCAGTAATCATAAACACTCTTTCCTGCTGTGCCCCATTCAGTTTTATGTTTGAAAAGGAATTTGGAATGTACCATCATGCTCATATCAAACAATGATCTCCACATAACAAGTTTGTAACTTATTTAAATCAATTCTATACTTATAAATATCGTCCATAATCTTTTGATTGTTTTTATTCTTACATTCTCACTTTTTTTTTTCTTTTTAGTCAGTGTACCATAGAACACAGCAGCTTTCTTAGAATAGATAAGTAGCTATATCTATAAATGAATTTAAAACACATTTTTATAGTAAAAAAATCCTTAGGCAGGTATCACCTAATGGTATAAAAAAAGAAGCCTGTGGCCTGATATCTCAGGACATAAAAATGCATCAAAGACCGTCTCACACAACTTAATCAAGCTGCTTCCAGGTTCGGACAAATTCTGGTGAAGTAAGCCTAAACTATTATAAACCCTGCATACAACTACTTATAAGCTTGTTATAACTGTTGTCTATGTTTAAGACATAAAGTAAGATGGGAATTGGCGCTTGAGTAGTCGTATTGTAATGACAGAGCCTACTTATAGGATTTTTGTCATCATTGCAGGCTAAAAAAGTCACATAAACACTGGATAAGCATCCATTACTACTGAATCATTTATCCAGCAGCATATTGAATACATGGTAGAAAGTTAGTCAGAGCTACTAAGGATGATGTAGTTGCTATCTGTTTTAAAATATCCAATCAGTGTGAAACTAAAAGGCAATTTAACCTTTTTTTAGTGACTCCGGGCTGAATTTAATGATATTATTTCAAATTCTAAAACATTTAGACAGCTTAAACATAAACGCGAAGTAAAGAAATTAATGTGACTTTTACTATATTAGTGAAACAAAAGCCAAGCCTTTTCAATTCTTATTTGACTTAAGTCCCATCTTAGACTGAGAAAAACATAAAAACTGTAAGATGGACAGCTCAAGCTTGTACTGTAACTCTGCAGATATGAGATTTTCTTTAAAACACATTGTGTGATTTTCAATCCTTTGATTCATTTGTAAGGATATTTTAATTATAGTAAAAAAATATTTGTAAAATTATCTCCAATCTTGTTCAAAAGAGCCACTCATCCAGGATCCCGTTATGGGCTTGATATATAGTCAGACCTCTAATAATAATTGAATAATCTATCACCTGATAAATATTTATAAAAGTTTGACAATAATTAGTTTTGTGTACAATCTATTTTTGATAAAGTTACATTTTAAACCAAGGCTTTAAACACATTTGTGTATAGGGCCACTTCAGCATGTGCAAGTCTCTAAAAGGGCCAGTGGTATTGTATTTACTGCCAGGTAAATTGCTGTGGAGGGATGGATTCAATCTGTGGGCCTTAAGTTAGACACATATGCTTTAAAAAGTGCTGTAATAGTGATACATTGAATGATTAAAACAAACCAATACTTTGATTTTCCCTCTGCAAAATTACAAAACCTAGTAACTAAGTTGAACTAATGGCTTTTATTTCATATGAGCATTTGTGGTTAAATAATCCCTTTTTTCAAATGAAAAAAGGGTACAATACTGCACAATGCAGATTGTCTCTCAACTACTTTTGCCAGTTTTTAACCAGGGCCCTGATCCCACACTATTCAAATGACATATTTTGTAGAAGCTGAAATGGATGTTAAATCCAATACACAACAAGAAACATCTAGGATCAAACAAGCTTAAAGCTTGAGATGAAACATGGCACTGATAAGTACAATGGTCCATAGGATCACAAACATGATCAGTTAAAGAATACTAAATTACACAATTGGTATTTGTTCCCTGTATAGTAAATGAAGCACGCAAATTACAAATAAAATGCTACAATGAAGTAATAAAAACACACTGTAATGAATGTCCGATTCCCAGGCACAGTTTCACAGTACTTGCTTGTAGCATGATATCCTATACACCTAGCATGCCAAAAAGGGGGAAAAACGCCCACAGAGAAACTTTGTCCAACATTTTTCCCCTCAATAAACTTTAAATGGTTTCTCCAGCCCATGGGCTTATCGGGATAAAAAGTACCAAAACTCCATTTTAGCCTCAGAATTTTTGTCACCATTTACAACTTCTGCTGAGCAGAGACACCCTTCCAATAATCAAGGATGTCATGCAGGTCCTCACCTTTAGCAAACTGCACCTTCTTTCGAAGAGCATTTCCAGCTGTTACATAACAGGCCTCATCACGAGGCCCTTTTCGGTATGGGCGAAACCGCTCCCAGATACGTAGTGAACTTTCTGATGAGTACTCTGGGCTAGAAGAGTATCCAGAGTAACCGGAGTGTTGGCGGGCAGGCGAAAGCTGGGAATAGGATGCTGCGTCCCTGCGGGATCTTGTCAGGGGCTTTAGAAAAGAAACGCGCTGGGCTGGGGAGCCATGGTGGGACCCTTGGTAGTAGAGAGCTGGGACAGAGTGGCGGTGCTCCGAGCAGTGGTAGTCCTGCTGCACCTCCAGTTGCTGTTGCTGCTGCTGTTGTATCTGTTGTTGCTGATGATAATGATGGGACTTTTGGCTGTCTTGATGTTGGGCACCAACACCACCACTGTCGCAACCACCACCACCCCCTCCCCCACAGCTCCCACTCCCCACTAAAGGCAGCCTCTCCAGCGGTTCTCCACATCCCACAGGACTAGCTCGGTCTGGGTACTGTGGCTGTTTTTGGTTACAGGCATCTGGGCTTCTTGGTTCAGGAACATCCAAGCTATATACTCGAGCTCCTCCTCTTTCTCTGTCTCGACCTGTTGAGCCACAAGATGCAGTACTGCTCTGTTTCTTGACAGCATTTGCCATAACAACAGCAGCATCTGCGCTCATTTGGCGCTGAATTGGACGTGCAGCTGTGGCTGGGGGTGGGTGCCTGTATGGGGGAGTAACAACAAAGCCCCCACCACTTATCCCTGGTCGCTCAGAGAGAGGCGTATTTAATGCAGGCAGGGGAGGAGGAGGTGGTATTTTGTTTGGAGCAATGACTTGACATGTCTCTGTACCCCCTGGGATAATGCCACGAGTAAGGGAGGATGCACTGGTTGGTGGTGGGGAGGTTGGATTTGATGAAGCTGTGTGATTAGTTGAGGTACTTGAAGCAGCAACTGCTGCTGCATCAAGTTTTAGGGCATCTATACAGTTGTTAATAATTTGGTTAACTTTGTCCACCTCCATTGCAATAGTGGAGATCTCTGATGCAGAACCATGTCCATCATCATCGGAATCATTACCAAGATCAGTTTCATCATCATCCCTCAGGTCATCTCCCCTTCTACTGCCATGACCACCGTCCCCCACTCTCTCCATCCCCGCCCCTCCAGTTCTCACATCCATATAGTTTCCTTTACTTGTACCCATGGCTTCAGAGAAAGCAGAGGCCATCTTTTCCACTTGAGGGATAGAGGAAAGCCTTGAGGAGGTAGTATTTGCAGAGTGTAGCAATCCAGAGCTTGAGGAAGTAGACAGTTTTCCACCATGATGATGCTGATATTGGTGATGCTCCCTTGACTGTTCTTGAAGCTTTTGGACTGCAGATGGATCATTTGCTACTGCTGCAGCCACCTCTGGCCCATAACGCATTTCAAGTATGGTTTTTTTGACAGATATTGACTTTTTCTTTTCATCGTGCATCCGTTTTTTCCGAAGACAGTAGTAAACAATTCCTATAACAATAAGCATACCAAAAAGGCAGCCAACAATGGTCATTATGTAGTGAGTAGTGGTTGAGGGAGTGGGGAGCATATCGTCCCGGCTTTGTCCTCGAGTGGTAAACTGTAGACAGGTGTTGTTATAACGTTGCGAGTTACGGATATAACCTACACAGAAGGTGTAATTATTGTTAGGCCTAAGCTTGTCAAGAGTAATCTTTTGTATAGCTAATTTCAAATTGGTGACATCAGAGACCAAAGTGTTGTTGTATTGTGTAAGAATAAACATTTTGCTGTATGGTCTTGGGATTTTTATAATGACAGAGGCTGATGATGAAGAAACATGATGGAGCTTAATACTTGGGCTCAAGCTGTCATCTGTAGATGAAGAAGATGTGGTGGGCTGGTAGTATGGCCCAACACCAAACATTTCTGGTCCAATTCCAGAGGGACCATCAAGATCTGGTGGTAGAGAGGTCATTCCTGGAATCATAACACCATCTCTGCAGCGATGGTACAAAATGTTTTTGGCATTGCGGCCTGCGTGACTCGAAGCAAAAGGACTTAGTAAAGGAAAGCCAAACATTTCCCTTGGCGTTTCACATTGGAGGCGGTCATACGTGTGTGACACATTGTTGAAAGACTCTAACCAGAACAAAAAGCCAAGAAGATCACAACCACAATGGAATGGATTTGCACCCAATTCACATACCATCAGGCGATTAAGATCAGTGAATGTGGATGGGTCAAGGCGGGCAAGTTTGTTGGATGATAGGTCAATGCTGCTGAGACTAGGACATTCCCAGAATGCATTGCTTGCAACAACTTCAATGAGGTTGTGCTGTAGGAATAGGCACTGCATGCGTCCAAGCCCTCTCATCATGCCCTCAGTGATATTGGTCAACTTGTTGTAACCTAGTTGAAGAACCTGGGAGAAAAAAAACAAAATAGCAAATTTTTTGACCACGTTAATATTATGTGATGTCTCTAATAAAATTCAAGCAAATATCTTATTCTGTCAAAATGTCAGATTGAAGCTCCATTTTCTAATTACCTGTAAATTGGCTTGTCCAGCAAATGCACCATCCTCAATATAGCTGATTTCATTCTTGGTTAAGTTAAGGTCAGTCAAGTTTGTGAAGCGATACATGGAGCTGAAAAGCACAGCTTTTAGCTTGTTTTCGTTTAGTCTCAAATCATGGACTGTGTTGTTGATATGGTGGGGGATAGTCTCATAAGGAGGCTGGTTCTGACTGCATATAGCTAGCCAAACATAGCCTTTGTCTCCTTCAATGAGCCAGCAGTCCCCACTGGCCATGTCCGGAAAACAGGAAAAAAACAAAAGAGAAGAAAGCAGAAGAGGAAGAACAGAGACGATAGAAGGACACTGCATGATGGCTATAAAAGACAAGACTCAATGCAAAGGCTACAGTGAGGGCAAAAACGGAGGATTTGCTTGCAGGAAAAGGAAATTGGTAAAGAAACAAAAAACCTCCAAAAGAAATGGGCTGGGTTGGGTGCCGAAAAAGGAGTGAGGGATTTACAATGGCTTTCTCAGCATTATGGTAATTAGCAGTAGATCCATGTTAGGTCATTATTTCTTGAAGTGTCAAAATTTTAAGGGAAGCAACTTTTCTTCATGGTCTCTCTGAAGACTTGCTGTGTGTGTGACTCAAAGAAACGGGACCTTGGAGAGATCTATAGAGAAAAAAAAAACAGAACAGAGTTATTAGTGTATGTCCTCACTATTATCTCTCATATATACATATGTGGGTGGCTGTGTGTGTGTATTCTGAAAAAAATTACAGTTAATGTATTTTTGAGGAAAAAAAAGCTTTGAAGCAAAAAACTTTCATTTTTATTTAGTCCTTTTGTTATAACACTCCTTGACATATCATCAGACCTTTGCCCATGTGTACAACCTAATCTAACAGTTGTAAATCAGCATACAGAGAACATTTTTCAGAGACAATACACAGTATGAAGCACAGAAATGCTTAAAATAATATCTCAGATATTCTTTGCTGTCACACTGTCCTGCCAAAAGCATAAGCTCCAAGACCCATCAGTATGCTATTTGAATAGCAGTCAACCATTTACATACAAGATAGAATAGTTGCATAGTACATGATGATAGACATTGTCCTTGTGTCTCGTCTGTACTAACATTCACACATTGCATAAAGATGCAAAGTAAAATTAAACATGTTCTCTGGAAAGTTTTTGCGTGACTGCACAGACACACTCAATTGCATGCATGTTGTTGCATAACAATATGCAGCCAACCACACATCTACAGTTCAAGATAACACATTGGGAGATTCTGTCCACATTTTCTTAAGTGTACCAGTGAAAAAGGTCAAAAGTCTCAACCTCAGAAGACTCAAAATTCAGATTTCTTTTCTATTCCAGCACAAAGAACTGGACTCATTACCAGCTATTCCTGTCCAGGCTCTCTAGAGATACAAACAGTGAATCAAGTTCATTATCATTTTTTCAGTCTGCTTATCATTGCTGCCAACTGCAAACCCCACATTCTTTGAAAGAAGACTATTCTGCATCTATGACCCTATTATGCTTTAAATGTTATCGCAGGGAAAGAATATGATTGGGTTAAAAGTGTTTACATGATGATGTTTAGACTACTGGGATCTTTGACAGCTTGAAAAATCAAATCAAGTTAGCTTTGAAATACCGGAGGACCTTAACATTTAGACCAGGAGACTGCCCTAATAAATCATTATTTTGCTGATTGAGGGTTTGGGTATTATTTTAAGGAAGTTTAAAAAATTTTTCTATTTAAGGCACAGGCAACTGCATCTCTTCTGACTAATTAGATAATAAGATTTGCTAAATAAAGAATCGATCCAAATGCATCGAAATGTAATGTTTTTTAATTGAGGCTTTCCATAATAAATTGAGAGTTTACTCTGCAACTCTATGGCTAAATGATTTAGCACAACTGAATGTTTAATTGTACTTAGGATAAATAATTCATTTTGTTTTTCACCTGTTCAACTACTTTCTAACGGAAAAACATAACATCTATTCAGCCCATAACAAACCCATTTCAGCACCCTCTTTTGAAATTCATTCTGTCATTTTCTTGTCTGCAGCTTATCCTCTCCGCATGAGGCATGATCTCATTTGGAGCTCTACAGAGCAAAACTTAAAGGGTTAACACGGGGTATGTAGGAGACACAGCATGTCTGCACAATCACATGTGCAGGATGTGATTACATAATGAGAAATATGGGACATGCATTGGCACTTCTTAAATGGATGAACAATTCTCATCAAAAGAACATATTTGCAAGAAATTTGGAGTTTTAGATGAGGCTTTTATTTTTACCTCATTTTATATGACACATGCTTCTAAAGGATCCTAAGAATGCATATAATGCAAGTAAAGCATGAAGCATTAAGGGGTAATAGTTTTTAACGACATGGTAATTAACTGCAGTAAACAACATCATTTACCATATGTTTAGATATCGAACGGTGAGTGCTTAGGTTGTATTCAGAAAGAAAATCCAAGCTGCAAAATTCAAGTTTCAGTTTTAATTCTGTCTAATCAGTAACATAAAATTTATACTTTATGTAGTTTCAAAAAAAAAAAAAAGTCAAAGTATATAAGTCAAGCAATGTTTGCTTGAGCTCACATTTTCTAACCGGTGCAGCTGGACCCATTTCTAGTTATTGCCCTAAGCGACCTTATCTCATATTCTCCATACCTCAACAGAAATGTGTTGTTCCTCAGATGTGGCTTCAGGAATACAGATGCCAATTTAAATTGTAAATGAATATTAAAACAATGGAAAAATTGCAGTGAATCAGCATGATGTTCTATTTCTTCTGGAGCCATGTGTTGCTGCATGTCCCTTTGATTATGGAGAGGAAACAGTCTATATAAAGATGGAACGAAATGTGTTTTGCATCTGTGCAAATCTTGTTGAAGATTCTTCTTGTTAATGTAAACAAAAACAAGTGTCACATAAACGGAGCTCTGGCTCACTCAACATACAGGTTGAACCTTAAAGTTGCCATGGAGACAACCTTATGATTGACAGTGACAATTTAGTTTAATGCTAAGAGAATGAAATGTTGTTGGCATTTGCATCAAATCAACATGTCTTCTTCACTCCATTACCCACACTGATAAAACTCCCCTCCATGAATTCTAATAGCTTCCAATAACCCTTGGCTGTGACAGGTGGTAGAATTGGAGGGGGTCCATATCTCCTCTACACTTTCACCAACATGACTCTTAGAGCCAGGCCACTGTCGGCCTAAATGTAATTTCATTGGCTTGTACTCCCCATGCCTCCAGTCGCATATGATGCTGCCACTGTAAACTGCATCACTTGTGAGTTAAATACAGCGAATAGAATGAGGTGCTCAAACAACATTGCACATTATGTTTTGTATTTGATTAGTATTTAAAATATGTTTGTGGTCCATATTTGAATAATCAAACAATGGCCCAAATGCAAGATTTATTATGGAGGACTAGGCCATTATAGTTTACATTTGGGGTGAATCCTAGCAAGGAGTTATGAGAAAATATATACTTAAAATGAAATCTGTGGATTACATCAGTATCTCATGTCATTTTCTTGTTTTGATTTGATATAAGGCAGTTATACACTGAAAAAAAAAGAATGCAACGGTTTTGGCTTTTACTTAAGCATATTTAGTTACTTTAACACAGTTGTTTTATGTTAGCAGGGTAGGACATAAAACAATTGTGTTAAAGTTACTAAATAAGATTAAGTTTAACATTAAGATTAATTTTTTTTTTTGAGTGTACAGGAAAGAGCAGAGTAAGAAACACAAAGCTCACCTGGTTTCCTAAGTTCTGTAGCGGTACTAAATGGATGCAGAGGTGGGAAGTAACTTTTCCATTTCATTTTTCAGATAACTTTTTACCTTTACTTTACAAAAGAAACAAATGTTTGTACTTTTCATTGCTTGAATTCTTAAAATGGCACCATTCTTTGAGCTGTATTGGTAATGAAAAGCTGTAAAAGTTGAAAAACTATGAGGAAAAATAAACTGCAGAGAGAATGTGAGCAGTGGTTGCAGTTTGTTAAAGAGAAATATTATCAGAAATAGGAATGAAGAAAATAAACTGGGAAACATTTCAGATTATTGAACAGATTAGGCAAAGCAAGCCTGTTATATTCCATGGCCATGTACTAAGAGAAATCCTCAATATTTTCAGCTCCAAGGATAATTCATAGGAAATGTGCTTCACTTTGTGCTTGAACTTAAAAACTACATACCTTTAGCATTGAAGAATTTTTTTGTCAGATCTAAAAAAAAAAAAAATCGACAGCATGTATTTTGGAAGGTTATTTGCAATAGAAGGAAGCTATTCTGTTTTCTTTACCTGGAGCCAGTTGCGATGCTGAAGCATCCTAATCACATTTTAAGCACCCCCCAAAAAATATTGGGGGTAAAAGTAAAATAAGTTTTTTATTTCTTTCATTTTCTATACGACCTTATTCAAACAAAGAAAAAAATATCACAAGAATTCATTAGATCAACCCTGTTTCTTAGGTTTAATGCATGATGCGTTTGTACATTTTCTCGTGTCTGCTCTCACCGTCCCCTTCGAAACACTGAGCTGTCTCAGGGAGCAAGCCAGCATTTAAAAGGTATTTATACTTTATTCTCTGACTCTGTGTGTGAGGAAATGCTCCCAGTTCAACTTTCTGAACAGTGCTGGTTTTATTTTCCTCAGTGCGCAATAGCTAGCACAGCACTAACATGCTATGAGATGTAAGACTGAGTAGTTTTAAATGTTTGTCATCTCAGACTTCACATCAATCAATAGGCAATATTGAGCACTTCTCCGACCACAATAAAGCTTCTAGTCAGCTACTTAACAATACACACAGTAAATAGTAAGCACGTTGGAATTATGTTACAAAATTACCACCAACTTAATGCATAACATTTAGTAAGTAATTAATAATAATTCCCTCTAAAAAGTATAAAGCCATATTATTGATTTGCATTTTTGTTTGCAGGGAGTTAGTGATGAGACAGATAGTTACAGATAGATGAAGATTTTTTTTTAAGCAAGGGAAAGCTTCAGGTAAGTTTTTTGTACTAAATAGGGAAAAAAACATTTTGTGCTTCATATGAACATCAATAACATCAAAGGAAAGAAAATTAGCTACAATTTGTTTGTATATATTATGCACCGATAGGCCCTATGCCAAAACTGATAATGCTTAATATCAATGTGGAGTCAGTGGTACAGCTTTTTGCTTTGTGTTTCTTGTGCTATCGTATGAATTGGGCCACATTGTTTGTTCCTGCGTTCTGTAATAAAAGATTGAGCATGTTTGCCATGCAAAGTAATCGTGTGTCTTTTGGCTCATACCAGAAAAAGGAAGGAGAAAGTAACGTCGGAGGAGCAGAGTGATCAGGGCAGATAGAGGGTGAAGGTGCTTCTAGGTTAAACACTGACAGATTTGAATTGTGGAGTATATCAGAGCATACTCAAAGCAGTTTTCAAGATAAATAATCTGTGTTTTGGTTTGACCAAAGCCATTTCCTTTTACTTATGCCGATTGAAATGTGTCAAAATAGATGTTGTTCTAGAATTTTGGTGTAAAACCTAAACATAAGAAAGTGAAAGGTGAATAGATATGATATTTGTTTATTAAAGAGAATTTCACTTATAT